CAAACAGTGTTATAATTATAATTAATACAGTTTCTGTGTGATTATTTAGGTTTGATAAGTCAGGAAATGAATGGCAGTCTCAGTTTACAAACAATAGTATCTTTCATTGAAAAAATAATTTTATTCATTGTGGTAAAATATATCTAACATGCAGTTTTAGCCATTTTAAGCTTACTCATCATTACCACCTGTCTCCAGAACTTTGCCTCTGTCCCAACTTAAACCGCACACATTAAATACCACTCCAGACTCTCCCTCTATCCACCAATTCTATTGTCTTTATGAATCTGACCACTCAAGGGATCTCATACTAGTAGAACCAAACTCTATTCGCATCTTTTTGACTAGCTTAATTTACTTAGCATAAAGTCATCAGTATTCATCCCAAGAGCCCATAACAACCCCTTCAGGACTGGTTAAGATCCTATTGTGCTTACTACATCCTGTTTATCCAAGCATTTGTGTATAGATACTTGCATGATGAAGGAGAGTAAGCTGCTATGATACTGGTATACAGATATCTTTGAGTCTTTGCTTTCTTTTCTTCTAGATATGCATTAGGAGGGGCCTTGCCATTGTGTGATATTATATGTTAAGGTGTATTTTCTTTTTTTTTTTTGAGGAACCACCACAATTTTTCCATGTATTATCATTTTATATTCCAACCAGTAATGCATACGAGTAATAATTTCTCCATATAATACTTATTACATTCTATTTTCTTGTCACTTAGTTTGGTTTTGATAATAGCCATCCCATTTGGGTATCAAGAAGCATTTCACTGTGCTTCGATATGAATTTCTCTGACGGTTAGAGATAGTAAGCATCTATGTTTGTACTTTCTTCCTGGTAATTTGTATAAGGTTTGGAAAAATGACATTTCAAGCTTTTTGCTAATTTTTTAAATCAGACACTTTGTTCTGAATTTTAGGAATTCTTTACACATTCTTGATATTAATCCATTGTCAATTAAGTATATGACCTGCAAATATTTCCTTACATTGCAAAGATTTCCTCTTCAATTGAGTGTCCCTTACTCTGTCAACATTTTTAATCTTGATGAAGTCCACTTTGTCTATTTTTTCAACTTGTTGCCTGGACTTTTATCTAGAATCATCACGTTCTTCTATGTCTGTCTGTCTGTCCGTCTCTCTCTATACCACTCTCCTTAGCTCTTTCTTCTATGCCCTGTCTCTGCCTCTTCCCTTCCTCTGTGTGTCTTTCTGTCTCTGTCTGGCCCATCCTCCTTCCCTCTCTCGTCTCTCCCTCCTTTTGCCTTCTTCCTCTTGCTGCTTCGGTCTCTCTGACAGGGTCTCACTACACTGTTGTCCTGCTTCTCCTGAATCAGGATCCTCAGTCACTTCTGGCACAAAATACTGCACCAGCTGGTCCACTGACTTTGGAGCTTACATTTCAAACCTATATTTGATTCTTCTGATCCTTAGTCAGATACGTTATCGACTGCATTCCTGGCTGGGGTTTTCATTCTGAAGTGCTGCAGTCTGGAGTCTATCTAGATTTTCTGGGCCTGAAATAAACACAGTTTTGTAAGCTTAAGAAAAAAATATAAAACTGTTACTTTTTATACATTTCTGTTCAACTTTAAAGCCATGTTATTTGTTCCAAAGACCTCTCCTGGTAGAGTCATACAAGATTCATCTGCTTCGTTTATTATCTGTTGCACCTATGGACAAAATTTTCATCACTTCCCTATCAGCAACCATTTTTTTGTTGTTGTTGGTGGTGGTGGTGGTAAGTGACAGGGTCTTTCTGCATAGACTCACTGTGTAGATAGACCAGGCTGCCTCCGACTCACAGAGATCAACCTGCCTCTGCCTCCCACGTGTTGGGATTAAAGGTGTGTGCCTCCACACCCAGCTCACTTGAGACCATTTAAAATCATTCTGACTATCTGCATATACCATAATTGAAATGTTACTATACAAAAGAATTAGCCTAAGGCAGCTCTAGTGAAAGGATATGAAAAAAAGATTTACCTATAAATGGCTTACAACTATTGTTCAGTAAATCAGAAAAAGTCCTGCCAGGTGGGGTGGCGCATGTCTCCAAAATTAGCACATAGGGGGCAGAGGAAGAAGGGTCATGAGTTTGAGGTCAGCCTGGACTAAAGAACAAATTCCAGACAAGACTGAGCTACGTGGTGAGATCCTGGCTCATCAATATCTGGACACCGAGGTTTAATATCGGTTATAATTGTGCCTCTGCTATTGCTTGGCTTGAGAATTTAGGCAACTCTACATTTCTGATCTGCAGTGAGTACAAAATTAAGAGATTCGACTCTGCTGTGAAACAATCTTTTGTGTGCTGTGAATGTGTGTTGCTGTCATTGGTTTAATAAAGGGCTGAATGGCCAATAGCTACACTGGTAGAGGTTAGGTGGGACTTGCCAACAAAAAGTGAGTGCAGGGTGAAGAAGAGCAGAGTCGCCAGCCATACACAGAGGAAGCAGGACCAAGGGAAACTCAATTCCTCAAACTCTGAAAGGCAGTCCATATATCCAGAAATGAGCTCAATCTGGACTATAGAAGATTTGGGGAAGTTTGATAAAAGTTCGCATTACTCAGAAACTTGTGAAACTGGTTCCTTTCTTATAGAAGGAATTGTTTCCCTTACCTCTGGCAGAATGGACATATGGCTACTGGTGACACCTATCAGCACATCAAAGCTCCTGTTGGCCTCTGGGCTCTGTCAGTATCACAAGTAACAGTTATACATTTCAAAGTCCATGCTAGCATCCTGGTCCTTCTTACCTAATGTTGTTTCCCCTAACCTGGACTCCCTGATGGAGAGGGTCTATGTGTTACTTTCATTGGTTAATAAAGAAACTGCCTTGGCCCTGATAGGACAGAAAATTAGGTAGGTGGAGTAGACCGAACAGAATGCTGGGAGAAAGAAGCAGATTCAAGCAGTCGCTATAGCTCTCTTCTCCAAGATGGATGCAGGTTAAGATCCTTCCTGGTAAGCCACCACCTCATGGTGCTACATAGATTATTAGAGATGGGTTAAACAAGTTATGAGAATTAGCCAATAAGAGGCTAGAACTAATGGGCCAAGCAGTGTTTAAAAGAATACAATTTGTGTGTTGTTATTTCGGGTGTAAAGCTAGCCATGCAGGCAGCCGGGTGCCGGGAACAGCCCGCCGCTCCTTCTACACCCTCCAGCTCATGTGTTTCCCTGTGCTCAGCTACTCATTCTCCTGATAACCCTGCTATGCTTGCTTTGTTTTTCTCTCCCTATGCTTTGGAACTGTTTCTCTCCCCATGTTCCCTTTGTTCTTATCCCCTACTAATCTTCCCTCTCAAGCAGATAGTCTTGACCTTGTTCAAAAAGCTGGTCATGTTCAGTCTATTTTCTCTCTCTGGTCTGAACTCTTTGAGATGCCTCTGGCTATTCTCGTATATCTACAATAACCCCTCCCCAACCATAACGTGGAGGGTTGTGTCATCAATTTATATGGTTTCTAATTCTCCATTAGTGCACATGCAGTTTTCATGACCCGCCCCATTCAGAAGATTGGAACTAAACTCATTTTCTGGAAGGTCTGTTCCTGAGGTACTGAGTATCTTGCATCTGGCAAAAGGTGTCACCAGTTTCAATCTTTCATTCCTTCTGGAATTCTAACTGGAACTGGAAATGTTTTAGAATCCCATTCAACCTTGTTTAGTTTTGTGATCAGACACTTTGTTAGTTTGCCCCCCAATTTAATTTGCTAGCATTTCCAATCTTTATGTGATGGCTACTTGCATGTTAAAGAAGAATCACATCAAGTGAAGGAAATGTAAAAGGACTTCAACACAAAAATATAAGTTTTTAAAAGTCATTTGACCTAAAGAGCAGAGACCCTAAGAGAAGATCAGCACAAAGTCAAAACCTTCTGCATGGCAAAAAAGTACATGTAATGCCAAATTTGGGAACAAGCCCCCAGTCTTTAAGGGCTGAGTCATCCCGTGTTCTGCTCTCCTCTCTCTATTCTGGTCTAATTCTAATTTCCAGCCAATGATATTTCCATACACAATTGTTCCAGGCTCCATTCCACTGAGAAGTGAGCTGCAGCTGACTGGAGAGGTACACTCCTCCGCATCTAGGCACGTGGCATCGCTACGTTCAGTGTAGGCTGGCACACAGTGGGGCAGTGCCACCCTGAAATGGTCAAGCCTGAATGAGTTTGAAAAGACCAGCCAAGTCTAGGATTACACATGTCCTTTTATTCCACCACTTCTCTGGAGCAGAGGTCCTTGGCCTTAGAGTCCTGGATATGCCTTGCATGGCCTGCACACAAGAGGTACATACAGAGGCTCTGTCAAGCTACAGGCTTGTTGCTAACCGAAGGTGACCATCAAAATCTCATCTTCTCGGGACGTTTTAAAAACAAAAACAAGACAACAAAAACAAAACAAACCAATCAAAGCAGACTGCATACTCAGGCACTGGGCAATAGCCAAAGGCTGCAGGCTGCTGGGACGTGTTGTAAGCTACAGGATTGGGTGGGGTGCAGGTTAAGAAGGGGCTGCATGGTGAAAGGGGTGGTGGTGGAAGGTGATGCTGCGGGACTCCGGGCTGCAGGACTGTAGGGCCCTGTGTGACTGTGATCTGAAGGCCTCCGTGGTGCAGGGCTGCATATTGCGGGGTGGGAGGGCTGTAGAGCTGCGGGCTGAAGGGATGCGGAGTGTGGGTCTGCGTGCTGGCGGCCAGAGGGTTGAGGTGTGCGGGGCAGCAGGTTTGCGGGCCGCAGAGCGATTGCAGGGACGCGGAGCCCAGGCTGGAGGGTTGAGGGTCGGAGCTGCAGGTTGGAGGGCTGCGGGGCGGAGAGCTAAGGGGCGGGGCTTGGCTGCGGACTGAAGAGCTGCGGGCTGGAGGGCTGCGGGGTGGAGGGCTGCGGGGCGGAGAGCTGCGGGGCGGAGCTTGGCTGCGGGGAAATGACGTGGTCAGCACCCCGCGCGCTCGCCGAGCCCTGAGCCGCGCGCCCTGGTAACGGCGCTCGGCGGCTCCCGCGTCCGCAGCCCCGCCTCCCGCCGCTGCAGCCCGCCCCGTCCCCGCCTCCCTCCGCAGCCCCGGCGGCGACCGAGTCTCGGGGCCCGGTGGCCGCTGCTTGCGGGACGCTAGCCGCGCCGTCGCCCAGCCCGGGTAGGGGGACGCCGCCGTCGCGGGCGGGAGGGAGGACTCCGGCCGCCCGGACTGGAGGGCGCGGGCGGGCGGGTCGGCAAGCGGCCGCCCCGGCTGTCGCCTGCCCCGTGTCGTCGCTGCGCCGGCCTCGCCCCGCGCGCGGGGACAGGTGCCCCGGCCGGGGTCTGCCGGGAAGATGGCGACCCCGGGCATGAGCTGGCAGCAGCACTATTACGGCGGCTCTGCGGCCGGGGCGGCCAAATTCGCGCCCTCGCCGGCCGCCGCGCAGCTGGCCGGGAACAGCATGGACTACTACAGCCAGGACATGCACCTGAAGATGAGCAAGAAGATCGCCCAGCTCACCAAGGTACGGGGATGCGGGGTTCGGGGCTCACCTGGCGCCGGGCGGAGGCAGCTAAGAGAAGCAACAGCCAGAGTTGCCTCATGGCCCCGCAAACTTGGGTGGAACGCTGGCCACCGAACTTGAGCTAGACCGCACCCCGCACCGACCGCGGCGTTTCCAGGGCTTGCACCCCATTGCCGACTAAGAGTAAACCAGCACTGAGCACCCGAGGGCTCACTTTCCGGGTTCCACGGTAGTAAATGGACTTTCCTGTTGCTCCCGTGCCTCTTGCTGAGGGCCGTATGAGGCACCGCGCTAAGAGTACCCGGTGAAGTACTGTACCGGTTTACCTAACATGACCCAGAATCCTCGGAGTTAATCGGTGTCTACTCCTGGTTCCCACAGTTAACGGGAGGATAAACTTCTCGAGGTTATTCCGAGGACTGTAGGAGGATGAAACATACCTTGCGTGCCATTTTAGGGATTTAATGAGTCATTCCTTACTTACCCTGACATAATGTCAGATAAGGTTTATTAGATGAATCACACTGTGTTTGCATTTAGTAAATGTTTCATCTTAATCAGAAGACAGTTTTCAAGGAGCCCATAGATACATCATCACCTGCACGGTTTTCCAACCGTACTTGAGGCGGGGTTGTTAGCTCGTGAGCTCTTTTCCTAATTTAGTTAGTACTGATAATAAGGGGTGGATCCCTGGAGATATTACCAGCAGTATAGCGCTGCGTGGAACTAACGGATCTGTGGTTTCTGGAAGTCTCGCCATAACCACCTTCCGTAGGACTGTTGGAGTTTTGAAGAGGGAAAGGTGGACCTGAGGTTCACTGCTTGATCTCTAGAGATCTGGCTCAGTTCCAGAGCCCCATCGTCTAATTCTACTGAGTTTAAAGAGAGGAAAGGGGATGCGTGTGAAAGGGGAGGAATGAGAGGGTAAAAAAAGGCAAAGAGTTGAGATTGAGGATACAAAGAAAGATACTAGAGAAGGAATAAAGAACAAAGAGATGCATGGAAGGACAGATTTAAAACAAACAAGCAATCAAACAAAAACCACGTGATCATGACTTAAACCAAACAGAGCCACACCGCCTTTTGTGGAGTGTCTGTGTCTGTTCTAAGCACCATCTCAGAGATGCCGCATGTACCGTTGTTACTATTTGCTTTTGTAAAGGATCTCAAACTCTGAAGGTGTAGCATGTCACTATGGCCACTTGTGATCAGGGCATTTCTGCGGTTGGAGCTGAAAGCCAGGCCTCCTCAGGAGTTTGGTCTTCAGAATGCTTCTGGTCATAGTGAGGCTCATGAATATTTGTTCTGTTTCTTGTTTTTATTTTATTTTTTTGATGTTTTGTTCACATTTCTTATTTTAAAATTTCTTATTTTAGATTGTAATTCTTGGAGACTCTTGTAACAAACACTCCATAGGTTAGAAGCGGGTCTGTGTGGTATTTAATAAAAAGCTGTTTTTCTTCAGTAAACTTTCACCCTTTCTACTCAGACTTCAATTTCCTGTTCTGTTTTCAGGAAAGCAATTCAGCCGACTGGCACAGGTGGATATTAAGGGGAGATGATCGCATCTCTCACGCCCGCAAATGTAATGAACCAGGTGCTGCTGGCCCAGTGCTTTTGTGACTGCTGAATGTGCCTGCTTTCCGATTTCCTGTTTGTAGTTACTGTTTCTAACGCCCAGTCTGCAGTCTTCCCGTGCTGCAGCAGACATTTAATCCCCTGTGCTGGGGTTTCTCAGTGTTACACAGTTGACTCTTTAGATGGGGTAGTTCCTTGTTTGGGGGCTAGTCTATGCAATATGGAGAACCTTACCAGCATGCTTGCAAATTGTGGGTGCAAGTGGTACGTGCCTCTGCCCTGCATTTAGAAATGACAGTAGAGAAGTCTGCAGACATTACCAAGTGTTCCCTGGGCAGGGTAGTGTGGAGTCATGTTGGTTGGTAAGGACCGATTACCATGACATTGTAAGGAAATACCTAGGGCTTCCCCCGCCCCTATTGCTGGCCTTTTTATTGCCCAAGATAAAGCCTGAGTCTAATAACAGGACTCCATTGCAGTCAATCTCACAAACTCTAAAATGCTGTGCCTCCCTTGTTTATCATTTTAGAATTTGTCCAGTTTTGTAGTCACATATACTCCATGAGCCTTACATCATGAACGTGTGTATACAGGGATTGCTAGACGTTAGACATTCCAGTGTAGCTGCTGTCTGAGATTGTCGGAAAGAGTTTGCTAATGCGTTCATATCAGTAGGAGGTAAATTAAATAGAACTGTGGTTGGAACTTGATTTTTGCTTTCATTTCAAGACAACGTAGAGGTAGCCATTATACTAGGGACTTGGGGCTAAAGAGGGAGCTCTGCTGATAAAGTGCTTGCCCATGCAAACATGAGCACCTGTGCTTGATCCCCAGCTCCCACATAGGAAGGTTAGGTGCTGCAGCATGCGTTCAGATCCCAGAGCTTAGGGAGCAGAAACAGCAAGTTTCAGGTTCAGTGAGAGACCCTGTCTCAAAGAATAAGATGGAGAGTGATTGAGAAAGACACCTGACATCAATCTCTGGCCTCCATGCATATACATGTGTGTGAGTATACATACAAAGACATATACACATACACACATACGTGCACACACATACCACACCACCACCACCACCACCAACAACAACAACAACAACAACAACTAAAGAATGAAATGGACTCTCCCCAGCATTAAAGAAGCAGCATGATTAAAATGTGTGCTGTTCTCATACACTTGAGTCAGAACGCTGGCTCCACTCCTTAGTCATGGTGTGACCTCAAGCAAGTCACTAGCCCTGGGCCTCGGTTTCCTAGGTGTAACTAACAGTAGGGGTCATGATACTTAGAGAGCTGTAATGGCACATAGTGGGCTCCTAGTTCAGGTTGTCACTGAAAATACTTATTATGTACCAACAAAGGATTAAGAAAATGTGGGTAGATATTTAAACACTTTTAAAGGAGTATTTTTTAATATTTATTTATTTTGTATATAATATTCTGTCTGTGTGTATGCCTGCAGGCCAGAAGAGGCCACCAGACCTCATTACAGATGGTTGTGAGCCACCATGTGGTTGCTGGGAATTGAACTCAGGACCTTTGGAAGAGCAGGCCATGCTCTTACCCTCTGAGCCATCTCTCCAGCCCCTAAAGGAGTATTTTAAATTTAACTTTAATATTTTTTTAAGACAGGGCCTCAGACTGACCCCAGAGCACCAATGCTCCAGAGTCCTGGGCTCGCAGAAGGGCTCTCTGTTCTGCATTTGATAGTGTTATCGATTCTCTATTTATTTTGGAGGTTTTCTGTTCAGCTCTATTAACATCTATATAGCAGATCTACTTAATAGCAAAGCTTCACGGCTTCACATTCTGATGTGCTGTTTGGGTCTTCAAGTCCTGCTCTCCAGAGATTGGACTAGCTCTGATAGGGTAAAGAAGAAGAGTATCTACTGTATAATGTACCTGGTGAGGCATCTCTTGTTTCTCTCCATTTGGTCCCAGGGGTGACGCCCAGGACCATGGGCATGTTTGTGTGACTTCTAGGCAAGCACTCGGCCCAGCAGACTCTGCTGTATCCCCCAGCCCTTCAGCATATTAACTAATAAAAATCCTCACTGGGGGAATGTTTGCTCAGATTCTGTTTCCTAAGAACCCAGCAGGGCAGCCTTTTCCAGGTGAGAATAGCTACTCTTAGCGCCCATTTAATAAGCAGGGATTTTATTAAAGGTTAGAGGAAGCTGGAGTGAGAGAGAAGCAGAACACAGTCTCTGCCCGTAAGGCAGGAATATTTAGGTCATCTGTGTCAAGTTTTGCAAGGGAGTGCTGAATTGGTGGCGGACTCCCATGTTGTGGCATGTTTCTGAAATGCTAATGACTGACTTCAAGGCAAGGGCTCCCTGGATTCTATTTGATTTGTAAGACCTTACTTCTATACGTCTGTACTTGCCCTTATGATGATTCTTTAGAGTCTCATGTAGAAAAGCAGAACCTGGGAGAGGGAACCATGAAAAGCCTTGTCCCTTTGGCTTTGCCCCTCCCCACCATACATTTTGTCCCTTCAAATTTACTTCTTAGTACTGGATCATTTTCGGCTAGAGATAGGCTTGGTTTTTCTAGTTGTCCTTAGATAATATAGATCAGTCTCTGGTCACTAGGCTACGGAAGTCTCAACTCTGCTTATTAAAATGTCCAGTGCTGACCATACAATCTTGAGGGCAGATGCAGAGGTGAAGCCCCCCTGTCCTCCTCTATCCCTCCAGCCCTGCTTCCTGCCAGGGGGAAGTAGACAACTGGGAAAGGGGTTTCATCAGCGTTTGTGCTTCTGTCCTGGTTTCTACTCTTCCCAGCCCTAGTCTCTGATCCCTCTGAAATGACACAGGGAAAGACACTAAGGGAAGAGCAGCTTTTCCAGCTCATCTTCACCTGTGGGTCCTCCACCTCCTGCCTCGGTTGCTTGAGATTTCCACTTTAACTTCCCTGACAATAAAACTGCATCTTAGTTTTTACTAGTTGCTGGTTCCCTGCTCAACCTCTTGGGCCTGGCATTATCTTCGTCTTTGTTTTGTTATGGTCTGTTCAAGCTCCAGATATGCCTCTCGGCCGGACCCGGCAGCTCCATCCCAGCCTGCTGTGTCTCTTGCCTGTAGGACTCTCATCTGGTTATGGGGGACACTCGTTCTCCTTACAGACTGGATGTGGGACCAGTTCAGCCTTCTCTCTTAGGCTCATGTTTCTCCACCCAGCTTCTCATCCTGCTGATTGTTAGCGATGGACCGGGTACCCGCCAAACGTTCTTCACGGTGCTTGATGTAAGTGGCAAGCAAGCTCTCCAAGTGTTTCCCTCAAAGCTTTCCTCTCAGCCTCTGTATGGGACAGTCATCTTTCCACAGACCCTTCTTCACTGTGGCTTCTCTACGGAAGGCACTAGAACCCCTCTGTGATGGCCATAAAGCTGCTTGTGACAATGGTTCACCTAAGGGGTAAC